TGCAGCAGGAAGGGCCTTGCTGTGGAGCAGTAACAGCTCTAATGTGACACTGAGCACTCCAGGATCCAGATGTCTTTGGATCCCATTGCAAATTCTCCAGCCATTCTGGATCCCCTTCCTTTCCTCTCCAAGATTACATAGCACCACATCATGCCTTGTGCTCCGAACCCTTTCCAGTTTAGTGTCTCTTCCTGTGCCTTTTGAACTGTCACTCGCTGATGGAGCTTTGCTTGGGACAGAAACCATGGCTTTACTGATGGTCCTTCACCATGGAAAGGAGAACACTGGAATAAAATGAAAGGGTATGATAGAAGTTATTCCCGATTTCAGACAGGCTGGCAGTCTTATGCGGTGCTCTTCCTTTAATGCTAATACAAGAGTAAATTCCAATGTAGGAGAGGTCCTTTATGCACCTCCAGGGTTTTAATCTTTAAACTTTTAAAACTGAACAAGGTTCAGCAATTCAGCATTAAATGACCCATTCAGAATTATTGGCTCTATTTTCCATGCTGCATATTTTAAGTCCGGTAATACTGTTGCTAAACCTGGGTATCACTTGGTTTAGTAAACCTCGGTATCACTTTAGTTGCTTCCAGCTGAGTCTGAACTATATCATAATAGGTTAAAAAAATGTTTGCTCCTCAGCAAATTGCCCTAAATGAGTATCTTGGTCCCTTCAAGGGATAGGTATAAAATTCTAGGTAGTAATTGTTTATTCTTACAAAAGGAGAAACCAGACAGGTGTTGTGCACAGCTACCTTGTCACAGGCCTGAAGATGGCTTTCATACTACAATTTTCCCAATGGCTATATATAAATTAAATTATATATAAAATTAAAAATCACCTGAAATTGACTGAATGCCTTGGTTTTTGTTGCAGTGCTTTTTGCTGTGGCTATCTCTGCTTGTGTCAGTAGAGACATCATTGATATGACACTTAAGAAAATGTGTCATGAACATGAAGAAATTGAAGCAATGACAAAGCCATTCCTACATTAAAAAAAAAAGAAAGGATAATATAATTAAATATCTACTAATCCCTTACAGGATGCTCAGAAACAGCACAGGGCAACTCTAGTCAGTTGTGCCCTTCTGTGAGACCAGAAGGGTTTGAGTCATGACTCTGCATGGAGCACTTTGAAATGAAGTCTCAGAGCTATTTGCAAGCTTCAAAACAAATAATCTCTCTGCCGATGTGTGACATCATGCCTCCAAGGTACAGTGGTCCCAGGGGTGCTCGTTAAATGATAGCACGATGGATTGCATTTCATCTTGACATGATGTTTGGATGCAGAAAATGAGCTTCTAAATTACTGCCACATCCCTGTGCAGCCTGTACTGCTGGTTCAGAACAAAGGGGATATCCAGGTACTTCAGATATCTTTTGTTCTGCTGAAGCTATGGCTCTGTGGGCAAAGGACTTCTGTCTTGTGACTCCACTGAACGCTTTCTCTTGGTGCCTGCCTTGAATGCTACTAGGGCAAAGTGTCTCATGTTTTCCTTTTTTCCCCTTGTTTAACATCTTTAAGAATCTCCTCCCACATTTCCCACACAAACCTCAGTGAACTTAGCTTTGCAAACCCTGCAAAGTGGTGTTAGCATCCTCTTTAACAAGCAAGTCAGCTGAGTTAGAAAAGGCCAGAGGACTCAGAGCCAGTAAGCAAGATGGGTTTGAGGCTTCTAAACACCTTTGAAGTCCTGGACCTTCAAGCTCTGCCTGTGGTTTAACAGTAAGTCTTTCTCAGGCCAGGAAATGGTCTTCCGGTCTTCTGATGTTCCACTTTTTCGCTCTGAGCTTCTGTGTCTTTCATTTTTCTTCTAATCCCATTCGCTAGGAGTCCTTCCCTTAACTTCCACTGGCTGTGATCTCCCTCGAACACACAGCCATAACGCTGGGACTAAATCCTGCCTTTCAAACTGACTCTTGCTGCTTACAACAACTCTTACTGCAAGAAAATCTTCTTTTTCTGATTCAAGTTAAAAGTGAGCTTGGAAAAACACCCTGTAATGGCTGAAAGCCTTACACTGGTATTTACAGACAGAAGGAGAATACATAGTTAACTAAAACACTTAGTGAGCACTGCATTACTACCACATGCAGTGTGAATATGTATGCAAGGTCTTTTATATTCTACTCCGACATGCAAACTGAAGTTCAGGTGTGTTTGCAGGCACCTCTGCCTTTAAGGTTATGTTAGCAAATACAAGCAGCTGTGGACACTTGTTGAAACTTGAATCTCTCTTTTCTTGGTTTGCTTGCTCCCCCCCTCGAGTGGCAAGAGTCATTGCTAGAGCT